ATGCCAGCCGGGTGTACAGCTCGGCGTTCCGGCAGCGGGACTGCAGGTCATAGAGACCCTCCTCCTCCTCCCACAAGTCCAGGAGGGTCTCCAGCTCCCTGGGGGTCCAGGATGGGGCCCTGCTTCCGGCCCCCCTGGGGGCTTCCTCCCCTGCCCTGGGTGACGGTGGCTGACGTGGGTCCTGACACCCCCGTGTACCTTCCATGCCTGTGCTGAGGTGGCTGGGCAGCACAGTTGCCACATGGCAGAGCTGGGAAGGGTGGTCTCCGGGGGGCTCCTGCCACGTGCGGCCAGTAGCGTGTGGGCTCTTTAAGCCCTCGGGTAACGCGGAAGTCTGCAGCTTCTACGGGGTCTCCCACCGTCCAAACCGCTTTTTTACGTTTCTTCTGCTTTTCCAGAAAAGCTGTCTACACTGGCCCTTTTCCGGAAAAGCTTTTCCGGAAAAAGGACTTATGCCCGAGCAGAAGCAGCGTACGGTTTCCGGAATAGCAGCTGCTTTTGTACAGTACAGCGTCAATGCTTTTCCGGAAATTCAAGCGGCCAGTGTAGACAGCTCACAGCTTATTCCGGAAAAGCGGCTGCTTTTCCGGAATAAGTGGCCCAGTGTAGACACACCTATTAAGTATTTTCCTCTTTCACTATACCATGGGATCTTAAATGATTTTTTAAATGTAAATTTATTCTGCATTATAGCCTCTATATTTGGTGTGCATGGCATGGCAGTGTTATTGTATCCTTGAAGAAATGCAAGCAGTTAATAAACTAAGATCTCCTTCTTCAGCTTTATTGGCTCATTTAAAATTAAGTTCAAGGTATTCCTTCGTAGTATCCTGCAAACCAGACTACTATATTCTCAGTCACAACTGATGTTCAGACAAGTAGGCTTGCCAGCCTATCCTAACCTTTATCATGAATTCTGATTTCGTTTGTCCTAGAATCTGCTCAGTAAACACCACATTAGGATTTAATTTTACCCGTTTTCCTGAAAATTCAAGGTATAAATTATTTGGACCTGTATGATATTCCAGTGTTTAGACATCTTTTTCCAGTCTCATCTACATATTAACTAACACTTCCTCTGTCCTACCAGGAACCTGATCTTTGCCATACATTGTTCTTTATCCTTTCATTCCATTTTAAACAGTGGGAACGAATTGTTCTTCAAGGGCTATAAAGTGACATAACATCCATTAGCTTCAGTGGGAGCAGAATTTGGCCTTA